TTCCATGTTCCTTTTTTCTATGACCAATGTATGTGTATATATATATATATATATATATATATATATAGTAATATATGCTAGAAGAAATCGCAGCTCAGGTATTAAGCATAGATTTATTTAATTCTATCTTATGTGCCAACCTTGGTTTGCCACTAAACATTCAGTGGAGGAAAACAACAAAAACAAATGGCAGAGTCTCTACCCTAGCAGAGCTTACAGTCCAGTGAACTGAGACTACCAACTATCATACTTAAGCCCTCCTTTCTAATTGCCAATGAGTGAGCAAGCTGGTAAGCTTGACTCTACTTTGGGATGTGTTCCCTCACAGTTTTGTACACTGCTGGAGAGGGGAAAGGATGGTTCATATTCCTCAAATACTTTCTCAGGGAGTGATGGCTAAGAGAGAGTCCAGATCTAATCTCTTTCCCATGAGGCTTATTGGGTCTCACACAAATAAAAGGGGAGCTTGCTGCCCTGTGAAGTGCTCATAATTATTGAAATATACTGAATTCACAGAAGTACTGCATTTCAGTCCTGCCCTTTGGACTTTTGTCACTTATCTTTTTCATTAAGTCACCTATAACATATATTAAAAATGATAATTGTACCTAGGATAACAGAAAACTAGCTTTGTAAATGACCTTAGACATCATCTAGTTATTCATTCATCAAATATTTATTCTGCCCCCCCACCACTGTGCTTGCTGCTGTACTTTTTCATCATCATACAAAGGAGGAAACAGATTGAGAGATGAGGATAATTTGCTGTCTTCTACAAAGTGGCATAGATTTATTTAATTCTACTCACTGCAAGTCTTCAGTGGCACTCCTTTGCTATTCCTATTTACAGACCATCTAGCCACTGGAACCTTCTCTCACAGGTAGTATTTGTATGCCCTCTTGCTTCTCCACCATAAGCTCCATAATGTAGTAAAAGAAATATTAAGTTGAACATTATGGAATTGTTGATATTTAATCAATAGCTCATCATTTTTTATCTAACAAGAGGCAATTTCATAGGGTTCATTATAGGTCATCACCTGCTCCCATATGCAAATGCTCTTGTTTAGATTAAAGGTAAGATGCACATGTGCACACACACAAAATTGTCTGTATCTTTAGGACAGGTGACTGATAAGGAACAGACTAGGGGCAAAACTCCTATTTTCCAAGTGTAGTGTTTATGCTGGGCATTTGCCATTTGCCCCTCCAGATTCACTGTAGACCCTTTTCCAAGAAGCTGTCCTGGGCAGACTGTATCAGCATGATTTCCTTGTCCAAAGACATCAGGTTCAGGAGAGTGAACTGTCATTTGCTGGGCTTTAGCTTAGAAATATTTGTGTTCTTGTATCTGTGGCCATAGTTCTTAGTCTGTGACCTCTTCACCAACCAACAACAGCTCTGATAGAGTTATTCCTTGATATGACTTCAGTTTGTATGTGTATTGAGTTCTATTTTCTATGCATGTAAGTTCTGAGGTCACATTTATACATCCTTTTATATATGCAGGCCAAGTATTAAGGCTCATAAATGCCCTCAGCTAAGAATAACAATTAATATACTTATAAATATTATACTTATGATATTACTTATTTGTACTTCTAATTTCAAAACTAATTGTTAATTACTAATTAAGTCTTTTTATCTTGACTGGAAATTCTAAAATAAAAAAATACTAGCTAAATTTAGTTTCTCAATATGAAATGCAAGACAACATTCAAACATTTGTGAAATACAATTATTCTTATGCTATTATTTTCATACTAATTTTTAGCTATGGGGCAAAACATTAAATCAAATATAATATAAATTCGGCAGCCAATCTTTGCTGGTACAAGGGCTTTCCAGTGTTTAGTCTTCACCTGTGGTATATATAATTACATGCCACATAGAGCAAGAAGAATAAGTAACCAAAGAAAATATTTTTAATTCATTAGGATAACATTTTGGTTTCTAACCACAGGTTGGCTAACCCTCCAAAAACTGGTGCATTGTTAGAACAAGCATTTACTGAGTACCTATTTTGTGTCAGAATTTTATTTAGTAGCATAGAAAGTTCAGAAGATTCATGGGAATCACATTCTGGAATCTAGAAGGCTCCTTGATGTTGTCATAAGGTGAGGAAATGTTGATTGGCAAGAACCAAAATGAAGGCCCAGGTCTTTTAGTTCTGGTTCAGTCTTCCTTTGCACAATTTCACCCAAGTCAGCAGTCACTCAGTACACAGATATTAAAAGGCATGAGAAAAATTGTCTTCGTGCATCCCTAACATATGGTTCATTTTTACACTAAGTAATCAGTAAGGTTATAGGTTTCAGTGCTCTCTGAAATAAGTTATGGGTAGGCAAAAAATAAAAATACAGCACTACCTACTCCATAGTATTTCACATCTGAATCTATTATACACTCAGTCTTTATATTCTGGAGAAAAGCCCTAGGATTCATGCTGGACACTTCATATTTAATTGCTTCCTAAAAATTTTAACAAGTCAGCATTGTTTGTAATAGATTTCTAGGCTTTTTGAATGTGACAAGGGGTTAGGGAGAAGAGGAATGGGACAGAAATAAAAAGTGTGTTGGACTGGCCTTCTGAGCAAGACTTGGATGGATAATACGTCAAATGAAAGATATAAGAGAATGCCACCATACAAATCTTTGATTCTATTAAATAATAACCTTAATGGTTTCCACAATTATTTATAAAAGTTTTGTAAAAGCTAACTTTTATAGATATAAATAGAGCTTATTTCTCAGTGTTTATCTTAATCAAGTAAAATGGGAATGGTTTTAGGTCAGGGAAGAATCACAAAGAGTAGCCATCACTAAGCTTGGAAAAATGTAATGGGAAATCTAGAATTTATTGACATATGTATAAATAAATAAGAATAAAAATTTTTTAATCAACATTCCTTTCAATTATTCAATCACAGTTCCAGGGATTGATGTGGAAGTATGACATGTTCTTGGCAATTACTACATTGAACTCCAAATTCATATTATAGGCTCTACCACTTGAGCTTAACCAGAAAATGTGACATCAAATTGTTTATTCTTTCGACGTTTTGTTTACTACTCGTTTAACACCACTGAGATATTAGATTGGTGAAACTCCTAATATGTCCAGTTTCTTTAAAGTCAACAGTACTTGGGCTTCAAATTAAGACTGCTTCCTGATAGCAAGGTAAAAGGGAAACTAGAGTAAAATATTCTGTTGTTATATTGTACCAAAGAAAATTACAAATTAGCTTTGTTGAAAGTTACAAATAAACTGCTCTAACTTCCAAATTCTCATTTTACTTGATTAGTGAATTGTTAATTGAGAATGTTTATTTTATGTGTGCAAAGTTAAAGAATGTGCTGAGGATTAAGGCCAAGATTTATGCATGTAAGCATGTACTCTACAATTAAGCTACACCCTTGACCTGCAGCTCAACATTTTAAAAGTTGTGATTCACAAGAAAAGAAATTACCTTGATGGCTCTTCATTTGTCATCTTCAAAAACAAAGCAATTTGAATATTTCTTTTATTATAATGTATTAGAATGTCATTAATAGGGAAGCCTTACAAATAGGCCATTGTATTTTGAGGAAGATCACATTGTGCTAAATAATAGGATATGGGAATACATCCAGCAGCTTGACTTCTGCTGACTTTTACTTAAAAGTGTGAAGTGTTTTAAATTAGAGTATGTTAGTATTGATGAAGTGTGCACAAGGGGGGGAATAAAAGCTTTGTTCCATTTTGAGAGGTAGATAAATTATTTGACTTAAAAATAAAGAACTGTGACCTGGGAATGAAAAAATAACACTTCTTATATACTTTTGAAGAGAATAGAAATTGGGACAATCTTTTTAGAAGGCAATTTAGCAATGTCTAACAAATTTACAAGGCATTTACCTATTGACCTGGCAATTGTGCGTGCTGAGAAGAATCTAGATAAACTTGTAAAAGTATAGCAAAATAGATGTGCAAGAGTGTTTATCCAGTATTTTTGAAATTGTAAAGGAAGAACATTACAAACATAAACTAAATACACAACAAAAGGAGAATGGCTAAATTAAATTGTATTTTCATTTAATAGAACACTCTAAGTCATTAAGAAATATGTATGGAATACTTGAACATTCAGTGACATGGAGCGATGCTAAGATAGATTAATAGGGAAATAAGCCAGACATAGGCCATTATGATGTCTCTGATAATTTTAAAAGCAGAAATACCTATTGATTTATATAGACATATTGATATTTATATCACTTATATCAAGTTGTATAATGGATAAAAACACATGTATCTGAACCATTGTGTTTATCTAGATTTCAAAAACTGCTATATAAGCCTTGAGTTCTGGTTGAGAATGCTCTTCCATGTGATGGATTGGGGAATGGTTTTTGTTCTATAGCTTTCTGTAGAATTTGATTTTTCTAGCCAATTATATATGACAATTTTATTTTTTAAACTGATCAATTTGACTGCTCTTAAGTAAGTTGTTATTGATTTTATTTTATATATTGAAAATCCAATAATAATATTTTATGAAATAAGATGCAAGGTTCTAAGGTCATGAAGTGTAACAAAACATGAAGCTTTGTGTTGCCAGGATATCAACTCAAGTTTTCAGTGCAATATTCATGTCACAAAGAAAAGTCAGCTTCTGGAGTCACCTTTTCCTATTGAGAGTGCACCCCTTAACTTTGCTGAAGATAGGTCAGCTTGGAAGTGGGTAGTGAGAGACATCAAACCTACTTTCCCCCTGAGCAAAAAAATTAAAAATCAGTTGTTGCAACTGTTTCCAAGTCTGAAGTGAAATAAGGTATTACAAACAAAGGCTTCTCTGAACATGCATTCATACTTAAATGCAACTTGGGTTCAGAATAGAGGGGAAAATGGTTGCATATTTCCAGTGAACACTATAATGCCTAACACAGCATCCTTTATGTTACAAATAATTACAAAAAGAAACAAAAGAATGAGTGTCTTCTGCTCTTGATCTTTTCAGAATTGCGACTCCCAGTAAGTCCCTCTGTGTGTTTGGATCAGCAAGTACAATTACAGTCAAGTATTTCAAGTCACCTCTTAAAACCAGTGAAGCCACATATGTGGAAACCAGGGGACTGGCGACGTGAACAGCTGTAAGCTAATCATGTGAATTGTTCTATCTGACATACAATTGAGGAGACAAAAAATACAAAGTAGATTTGGGAGATGGGGAGGGAGTTTACATGATTGAATTATTAAGTTTTGTTATATAAAATTTCAACTATCCCTTATTAATGAATATTATCATTGACTTTCTTCCAGACTAATTCAAATTTCTCCTACTATAGAATAAACATTTGGGTAAATTGGATTTTATCTAGTAAGTTATAGTAACGTAAATTGAATTTAAAACCTTGACAATGTGAAACTATAAAATTTTAGCTTCCACTTTATACTAAAACGACATTGCTTACTCTGTGAGTCTGGCTGAATGCATTTTTTTCTTGTTATTAATTTTTTTTATAGCTCCCAGGATCTAAAAACAAATCTTCAGGGTATTCAGTTGCCCAATATACCTCCAGGGAAAGTAGTTTAGAATGTAGATAAATTATAGAGAAAAACTAGATATTTTAATTATCCTATCCAAGTTATAAATGAGTTTGTCTCATTTATAACTATAATTATTAATATAATTATTAAATAGTATTTCCACAGTTAATAGTATTTATTGAAAAATAATATTCAGCTTCTGCCTACCCAGATTTCAAATGTTAAAAATAGCACAGTCTTTTCATTGGACAAACTTAGATGTTTGACATGTCAAAACATGGTACAGTAAAGCAAATAGTTATACATTTTGGTATCCTTTATAATGAAAGCATGTTTGTTTCATCAAAACCCAGTAAAATAGCAATATTTGTACTTTACAGACTAGATGTTTTTAAATATTTCATCCATTAAATAGACCTTTACTTACCAGGAGCTGATAGTGTTAGATAGACTTGAACTAGTGGAGAAAGTAGTTTAGCATATTCTTGGTGGCCTAGCCACTATTAAAATTTTTTATATCTTTCCACTGAGAGGAAAAGACAGAGCAAATGTTAGCATATGGAGAAGAGGAAATTTTCAGGAAGAGTTCAGTGCTTCCAAACTGTAATTTATATCACTTCTGTTTTAACAGCACCATGAATCTGAGGTCATGTGTGTCATGATTATGAGGTATTGATTAAATGAATTTTTAAAAATCTTTAAACCTTATTTTAGGTACTGTTTTTCTTCCTATTGTTTACTTTTAAAAATCTTTTGATTAAATCTTTCAAAAAAGAAGTCTTACCTATTTGTTCTTTTTCTTTGTCCCCGTGCACACCCTAAGCAGTTGAAAGTGTTTGCGGAAACCCACACATTGAAGGTTGGGGTCCAACAAGGGATAGGAGGGGTTACAAAGCTTGCAGGTAATTTACACATTGCATATTCAATCCTAAATTATGGAAGACTTAATATACTATTTGATTTTTTAGGAACCAAACAACAGTCCTTGCCCCACATGAAACAGTCTTCAGACCTGAGGAGCTATCTGTGATTCTTAAAGCATATGTGTTGGTGACATCTTTATCCCCTTTGCGAGCATTCATTCATTCAACTGGCACAGTGTGGAGTCCACCAAAGAAAAAACGCTTCACTGTCAAGGTAAAAGCTCTGTGGAAGCTGTTATTGCACACAGAGTATGCTGAAGATAAGTAAAGTGAGTTGGGCTCCATTCTCTGACCTTTATGGTTATCAATCCCTTTGAACAAAGATTGCATCCTTTTACTGCTACAAACAGAGATTTTCATTTAATAGGTACAGGTTCAAAAATGAACTAGAAATAGCTTAATTTACAAGGGATCATGCAGGCTACATCTTTTTTCCCTCAACTCATCATTTTAGTTCAATTCTTTGACCTATTACAGAACTAGTTCTTGGCTGTACTTTGTTTCTCCTGACTTTCCATTTATTCAAGAAAAATATAATCAGTGCAACAAATGAAAACATAATTTTGCCATTGTGATTTTTGCTTCAGCTTTCGGAAGCATAATGCCAATTTCATTACAGCAGTCAATATGGAATATTTACTGAAAGAAAAATAAAGCTCTCAAGTGTTCCTACTATGGCAAGCCATGGCCTAAAGGATAATGAGAAAGTTTTCAGGAAAGAGCTTAATAATAACTTCAAAAAGTTTACATATAAAAGGTAGCTCAGGTAAAAATGTGACAACATAATTAGAGAAAAATTAAGGAATTTTTTTATTTTACAGAAATTATTGTTCAGAGTGCACACAGAGGGAATGGGAAGAAACTGAGAGAATGAGCAGTGCCTCTCATACTTTAAAGAAATTCAAAGTGACTGAATTTGATTTTTACTTTCAGAATTTACAAGTCTTGCATTTCGAAGTCTGGAAAGTATTCCAATGATGAAAAATTGTCAATGACCCATTTTAAATACTGTTAATTAAAAATACACTGGCATGAGAACAGATTAGGTGTTTTATAACCTAATAAAACAGCTCACATCTCAAGGACATGTTACTGATGACTTAGGTTCTTAAAGTTGTGTCTTTTATCTTAAAAGCAATTGTCTGAACTCAATTCTAACAATATCTGTGATTTTCAATCTTGAAAAAGTAGAATCTAATCTGATTTCTTTCATGTAATCTCTTACAAGTCTATATAAAGTAGTTGTTCATATTTCCCCAAGTATCATATTTATTGCCATTTTTTCCTTCCTGTTAAGCTAATTTATATGAAATTGTTGATATTTGGGCATTTTAACCTACAAAAAATTGTTACTTCATCTAGATCAACCTAATAGTTGGAACTCATGTACAGGGAAATAAACATCTTCATCCTCAAATCACATCACATTATTCAAATTCAACAAATAGTTGAGCCAACCCAAAATCCCAGCTATTGTGCAATTTATGACATCATTGTGTCCCAGATTTCTCTCTTTGCTTTGTCCATTTATTTAATCCATCTTATCTGCATTCAATTCTTCTCACCTTCAAAAAATTACCATTATAATGGTTTATTGTGTATATTTTTTATATTCCTATAAGATGTACATATTCTTTGGTGCTTACATATACATACATATATATATATATGTATAGATAGATAAGTGTTTAATTCAAAAAAGAATTCACCTTTGGCCTATTTCCTTTGAACAGATGGTCAACTACTTCTCTCAACACTATGGCTAAAAAGTCATCATTTCCCAAGAATCTGATCTCACCTTTATTGTATAGGTTCGTATGTGTACGTGGAACAGTCTCTGGGCTCTCCATTCTGTTCCATTTGGCCACTTGTTTTATTAGCCTGGCTGTGGAAGCATGCCTGTCACCTGAAGAAGCAGCTTCTCCTCACTACCTTTATATTCAAGATTAGGTTAATTAGATTACAATCATTTATTTCCTTCCTCATAAAGATTTTAGAGTATTTTATTACTTGGGGTTTTCCAGATAAACAGAACCAATATATTATGTATTATGTACATTACATGTATACATATATATATCACAGTATGTATTTGAGGAGATTTATTGTGGGAATTCATTTAGTTATGGAGGTAGAAAAGCCCCATGATGAGCTATCTGTAAGCTAGAGAACCATGACAGTTGGTGGTTCAATTCTGTGCAAAGTCAAAGGTTCAAATTTCAAGAGAAAGATGGATGTCCCAGCTCAAGAAGGAGGCACAAGCAAACTGTTAAGATTTGTTCTTTCCATCTTATCTTTTTATTTTGTATGCTTTTTACATTTTTGTTGTTGTTGTTGTTTTTGTGGGTTTTTTTGCAGGACTGGAGTTTGAACTCAGGGCCTACATCTTGAGCCACTCCACTAGCCTTTTTTTTTGTGATGGGTTTTTCGAGATAGGGTCCTACAAATTATTTGCGCAGGCTGGCTTCAAACTGCAATCTTCCTGATCTCTGCTTCTTGAGTAGCTAGGATTACAGGTGTGAGCCACTGCCACTCGGCTTTATGTTTCTTTTAGGCTATCTTTTCCTGCTTTTCACTGAAAATCTCAAATATTCTTTAAGTAAATATATACACACTTAATGTATATAACATAGAGTGGTCATCATTAGTTTAAGACACATACTCATATTTATTTTCTCTCAGTGATATTTTTTCAAGCAGGGTCTCTCTATGTAGCCCAATCTGGCCTCTTACTCAAGATCCCCCTCTGTCAGCCTCTAGAGTGTTAGGATTGCAGGCATACACCACCACACTCTGTTTTCTTCCTAATGTTTTAAACTTTCAAAATCTCTATTTCCCATAAGGTCCCTTTGGTCTCTATTCCACTTCTCATGATTTCTGATTGAAACAACATTTTCCCTTTCAAAAGGAAGCAAACAAACTTTATCAAGAAATTTATCATCCTACTTCCCCTGTTTATAATATCCTTATATATTTGCCACTTTTCTTATTTAAGTGTTTTCAATTTGTAGCTGAAGTCTTTAATCTTTAATTTTGGAAAATTTATTTTCATCTCTTTTTTTTTTGGATAATAAATTGAGCTAAGGACCTCACACAAGTGCTCTACCACTTGAGCCACATCCCAGCCCTTTTTGCTTCAGTTATGTTTTGAATAGAGTCTCACATTTTTATTAGAGGCCAGCTCAGATTTCGATCTTCCTACCTGTGCCTCCCATGAAGTCTGACATTTGGGAAAGAGTAGGCTGAAGAAGTCAAGGGTATCCCAACATTCATTACTCTTCACCTGAGCAGGGCTGCATCTTTGGATAACTCAGCAACCTGAGTCCTGGGCCTGGGCTTAGCATCCTTGACGAGGAAGGAGCAGGAAGCAACTGTCCTAGAGAACACAGGGGAGAGGTAGAAAGAAAATTTCATTTCCTTCCTCAAGTTATCCTCTCATGTAGCCTCCAACAACTCCTGTCACCAATCTCCAGTCCTCCCTGTCCACTACCAGCACTGACCACACCAGCTTTCAGAATCCTGTTCACACACGTTTTACTTTTATTATCAAAATTGTGCCTCAGTTTTATTTCTCTTGTACTAGTTCACCATTTGAGGGGCTATTGAAGCTCATCATTATTCAGAATAACATATTTAAAGTATTTTTCATTTTTTGTTTATTGAAATGCACTCTACTTACCCTGGGACAAATGACTGGTAGAGATAAGCTTTTTGTGATAGCTTTTATTTACACATTTCCTGTGGATAAATAATGAGAAAAGAATGCTCCTGGTGATTTAGTTGTCTTCATATGCTGCATTCACTACTGTTTCTTATTCATATTTTTTCCATGTCTGCAGCACAGATGGAGGTGGTAGTTGTGGCACAGGAAAGCATTCAGTTCTTGTCATTTTCGTGTTATCCATGGGATCCACCTTTTCAAGATCTTGCTTGATTATTCTAGACAATACTTGTCTCTGCCCTCTGGGGGAGGTAACACTACTTCCTGGGTTATTGTACAAGATGATTATTTCCTTGCTAGATCAAAGTTATACTTAATGATATAGATGGATTTCAGAAAACAAGGGTATTTATTTAGCTTTCTACTGAAGTACTGCAGTTAAAACAAATAGATCACACTCATCTATTCAATGACTTGACCATGCTCTAACATACTACTTCTTTTTGGTATTTTTAGATAAAAATACACAGAAACTTCCCAATGTTAGTGTAAGGATAAAACCAAAATCTACTTCAAAGAATAACCATGTTGTATCAGCATACCATTAAACTCTCTTTTAAGTTTCACAAAACATATTTTGTGTATGTGTGTCCATACTGAGTCCTGAATTCAGAGGATAAATTACTTATTTAAATCAGTAGTGACTCATGCAATGTTCAGTCAGGTAGGCCATTTATAGAACATTCTGACAGCTAGAGGAGATAGGAAAGCAATAACAGATATAACTATGAGCTCATTTATTTCCAATTAGGTCTTCTGCTGAGATATTTTACCTGCTAAAGCTTTGGAGAATATGGAAAACATGAAGAAATGAAAAATTTCCTTTTGTAAACTGAATTTTTTTAAAAATCACCTTATAATGAAAGTATTTTAAAATTTAAGTGTTAGATATTTCTCAAGGATGTTCAAACTTGAAAGGAGGTAGTTGCAAAAGTGAAAATAAAATTAATAGCAAATGCAAATTTGATTACTATATCCTTTTAACTGAATTTAAAACAACCATATGTGCTGCTGTTGGAGCAATACTATTTTGTTGGTGAATATGATACATTCAATTACTTTCTTGTTTTGGTGGTATTGGGGTTTAAACCCAGGTCCTCATGCTTACTAGGTAGGCGCTCGACCACCTGAGCCACTCTTCCAGCCCTTTTTTGTGTTGAGTATTTTGGAGATAGGATCTTTTGAACTATTTGCCTGGGCTGGCTTCCAACCCTGATTCTACTGATGTCTGCCTTCCAAGTAGCTAGGATTACAGGTGTGAGCCACTGGCCCTGGCAAATACATCCAACTTTAAGGAATATTTCATTCAAAAACATCCCTCCTAAAGATTTCAATTTAATCATAAAATACTCTAGCTATACCCATGAATTCAAGAGTAGAGCCTTCCCACAGTCATTCTAATTGTAACTTTTGGTCAGATGTATCCATGGCTATGTTTATGCACAGACCATATAGATAACTGAAAGAAATGTCATAAATTCAAATATGGTTCT